TTAACCCAGTCATCTGATTCCTAAGTGTGTTTATATACCCTATATATAAAATATGTTTTTGAAATGCAGTCCCTCACCCCTTTGGCTATTTTTGCCGATTTTTCGTCGCCAGAGCGATTCATGTCCCAAATTTTGGTTCTCCGAGCGTCTCTAATAAATATCCTATCTAACCGCTGAACTGAATTAGCTATATTATGAAAAATTCATAGAAGATTGGGCGAAAATCGTTCGTTTTTGACCTCTACAGTTTTTTGCTCGGAAACGCAAGGGCGATAAGAACGAAGGTCGCTTGGATCAGGCGGTTTTTATTTTTTCGAATCTGTTGTGTGTCTAGAAACATAACAACTTTGTTTTTTGATGAATATAGAACATGCTCTGTTCCAATAAAGGATTTTGATATGCAAATCGAACAATTTTAATAGTTCACTCATGAAGATTGATGATTCGATTGCTGGCCGGGATAGATGTATTTAGTGTTCATTTCTATGTAATATGTCTACACCTGCGATTCTCAATTTTGATGTGTAAAATCATTTCGCTGCTGTGGACTTGACGGCTGACAGATTGTTTTGGTTCTGCGGCTCTCTTGGCATGGGCAACTGATTTTTAAGTTTCTGTTTTTTTAATATTCTGATATTTAATTGGTCGTATTTTGTATATACCACTCAGACACTGACAACAAGTAAACGGGCCGGGACATAGTCAACATGCCAGTGGGACTGGAGAAAGCGTCATCGTACAACATAATAATGAACGAAATGAACATTGCTATCTCATACTTCCGAACAATCTGATATTTATGCTGGATAACAAAGTATACAAGTACTGTCTACGATATACTGCAAAATGAAAATAACATACCTATTTAACAGTTGTTGATTTTTGTACAAAATTCCAAGAACACAAAACAAACAACTGACAACAATCGACAAAACAAAAACACAACACAGTCACTGTAGTCACCAGTAAGAAAAATATACTGTGGAACTCATTGCAAATGTAAATACAAAATAAATGTCAGTAAATACAATATTTATTAATTTGCAGTTCACAGCCTCCAGTATTGCAAAACCGTTAGTTGTGAACTGAACTTTAAATCTCATCAGGATTTCCACATGAAGTTACACAGATAGAAAAAAAATATATACTAAATTCTCTTATTTTGGTGGTATTTTTGTGGGTGTACATGTATGCATTAAAATTATGAAAACCTAAAATTTAATCATAGTACAAATGTAAAGTAAACAAAATTATCGAATGATTTTGGATTTGTTTGGAAAAGTAGCCGAAATACTATGACATTGTCATAGTATGATAGCCCTTGCCATTGTTGGCGATCCGTTCCGCTCAAATACAAGCAACATGTTTTCGGCTGTTGCAATGGTAGGACATGAACGTGAAGCTAACGTCGGTTTATAACTATACGAAGTTCGCAAAAAAAACATTGTCTTTAGAAATCACTTTATTTTATTGCTAGGACGTATTCTGCTGTTAAATTTATTATTTCCAACTGTTTTGTGATAGTATATTCTAGATTGAAGGCAGTTTTTACAGTTCATTCATAGTTCAAAGTTGCGTTGGGATTACGTTGATACAATGCAACAATGTTGGCGCCGGTGATCTCTTACTCGCCTGCCAAGTTTGATGGAAATTGGCTAAGCCAAAAAAATCACAGAAGAATTAATACGTGAAAACACTGGAAATCACACACACACACAATTGATTTTAAGGGCAATCCTAGCGGAGCGGATCGTATAAAATGTGTAAACCAGAGATGCATTCTTAGCACATAAGCAATCAGATATAAATCAATTATTGGAATACTATGTAGTCCCACGAAAAAAAATTTCGACTGAATTTGGAAAACTACATAAAAACAAAGAAATATGGTCACAATATTACTCAAAATTGACATTTGGTTCACTACTTCACCGGTCAAAGTCCTGGGACGAAAATACATCATGTTATACTTCATATTGCCTGTCGCCATTCTAAATTCACCTGAAACAATGTACCGTGTCATACACAATAAAATAAAACTAAAGAACAGTTCTGGTACTTACCTCTGCGGCAGTAACTTCAGATACTGCTGTCGTTGCAAAATAGATAGACCACTTTTCCAGAGAGCCGCCATGATGTTAAATTCGAACTTTGACCTACACTATGCGCCCTCTGTCGGTCACTAGTTTCTAAGGAAACTAAAATGTTGTAAACAACGCCCTGCAAAATGGCGATGGCGAAAGGCATGTCTTCAGAGAGGGTAAGGTTTTACTATTAAATTTAGCACTTGGTCAGTTCAGAATCATTTGTCTACCAGATAAATGTTTAAAAGATATTGTGTTGAGGCGAATTGGCAAATAGTAAAGCCCTAAACAAACTAGCATTGCGTAACATCAATAACAATCCTATCAAATTGTTTTAATTTCAAAACAAGAAATGGATTTTGTAAGTTTTGCACTCTGGTACATTGTGTCATTACTATATATTTACCAAAGCTTTAACAAATTAAATTTTAATAATTCGCCAACATTTAGATACTGTGACTATCATGTCACGTATTCAATCGTAACATATCACAGAAAATATGCTTTCATTAAGTTCCTTGATCTGTTCAAGGATATATCTGTTCAAGCTATATACTGTAGCTTGCAGTAATTTGTATATGGTGGTGCTGTGTGGGCAATGTATAATTATCACCATAACACACTCCTAATTAATTTTATCACCACCGTCTTCACACTCAGTAATTTATCTCAGAATTGTTATTCTATTACCACGTTATACTGACATAAGGACAAAAATGATTTGAAGCTAAATAAACCATCGCCTGGCACTAATACACCACAAGATTTTACACAGAAGCATAACATTTACAACAATAGCATGTGGTATATCTGACTAGGCAATGGTTTATTGCTTAATTATTATTCCAGCATAACATAAGGACAACATAATAAGAAAATGCTCCAAATTATAGAAACCAAACTGCAACAGTGCAATCTGAACATATCCATAGTCTTATAAAACTAAACTGTTGAACAATTTTAGTTCTACACATATTCTTAATTCTGTAATGCACAGTATATATCATGTAATTTAGTGATGGCACATTTTGAGTTCTGGGAACATAACTTTTTATGCAAGAGTTTGAGTAATAATTTATCTCTACTTACATGACATTTGTATTGAATTTTACAGGGCCCTGCATTGAAGCCTAAGGGGAAAGGGCTTCTAAGGCGTCCACTAGCACCAGTCAAACCCAAGGACTCTGTGTATTTGAAAGACTTTCCTACAGATACAGTTGAGATGTACTTGGCTTCTACAATGACTCCTGATACCAGGGACCAGTTATCTCCTATTCCAAGTGTTGCCCCAAGTTTAGCATCTGGATTTCATGAAAGTGATATCAAACGGAGATCATCTTCCAAAAAAACAGATCAGTATAATAAAACGTATCCACGCTCACCAATGAACACAGTGGACAGTGTATATCTATTAGAAGCACAGTATCGACCAAAAACTGAAGCTGCAACATTCACAAGTACTTCATTGATCAAACCATACAAGCCACGTGGGCCTGATGGGTTACCGCCAAGGCTACCAAAACAAAACCCTGAAATTAAACATGAATTCTTATATACTGACTCATGTGAATATTTACCCAAACCAGAGTTCACATTGGAAGACTTTTTATTGGATCATAATGAAATTAAAATGATGCCAAAGAAACAAATACACCATGCCATGTTATCCAAGCAGAATTTTAAAAAGTTGACAACTTTATTTGCCACGTTCAATAAATTACCTAGACAAGAAAAAGTTAACACATTGGAACTGAAAAGTAAGTATAAAGACATAATTATATACTGTATATCTATAATAAACAAATAACTATATAAAGCCTGGGCCAACAGGGTCATTTGCATATATTAAAATGTATATGGCGATTTGCATAATTTTCACACTATCGTTTCATTTTATGTTGTTGCCCACAAAACTCATGTAACATATAGTCACAGTATTACTTTTTGCATAAAAATCTTATAAAACCATGAAAACTTTGTTGTTTGATGTTTGATACATTTAACTTTGGTTTCTATGAGAAAAAGACTGAAAATATTCTTCGGTGACGTATAGTGAAAAATTATAAGATGGGTAATCCTGATTGTCATAAATTATAAGATGGGTAATCCTGATTGTCATAAATTATAAGATGGGTAATCCTGATTGTCATAAATTATAAGATGGGTAATCCTGATTGTCATAAATTATAAGAAGGGTAATCCTGATTGTCATAAATTATAAGATGGGTAATCCTGATTGTCATAAATTATAAGATGGGTAATCCTGATTGTCATAAATTATAAGATGGGTAATCCTGATTGTCATAAATTATAAGATGGGTAATCCTGATTGTCATAAATTATAAGATGGGTAATCCTGATTGTCATAAATTATAAGATGGGTAATCCTGATTGTCATAAATTATAAGATGGGTAATCCTGATTGTCATAAATTATAAGATGGGTAATCCTGATTGTCATAAATTATAAGATGGGTAATCCTGATTGTCATAAATTATAAGATGGGTAATCCTGATTGTCATAAATTATAAGATGGGTAATCCTGATTGTCATAAATTATAAGATGGGTAATCCTGATTGTCATAAATTATAAGATGGGTAATCCTGATTGTCATAAATTATTAGGAGTTTCTGAAGAATACTATTTATTTTCCATGAAATAATGCTTTTTTATGGAATCTTATTGAAATTGTTTCAAAAATGTCAATTTCTGGCATTTTGTCGCATAATTTTTTATAAAACCATGATTTGTACCTAGTTAAAACACTATAAATGTTTTGGCATTTATCCAAATCTATAATCAGGTAACACATCAAAACAAAATATCGTTAGAAAATTGTCATCTTATTTAATAAGTCAAAATACCCGCAAACATTCTCAAGATGGGTATAACAGTTTATTTATTTATGGTTGACTGGCAGCCATTTTGACCACAGTGTTTTGAGTATATGCCTACTATTGTGATAGCAAACATAGTGTAAATGATATACATAATTCCAGTGTTACAAATATTTTGTTATATTCTGAACTGAACTTGTTACAAATACTGATAAGATAAATGGCATAGATACTAAATGTGTTTTATCTATAACTGTTATGTTAATTAATTGTGTCACATGAGACTTGAGTGAATACATAAAATATCATGAGTCAGTGAATCCAAATTAGATGAAAATGATATATCCACAAATCTATCATTAAAGAATTTCTTTTATTCAAATATATAGCTGATAGTATTCCTAAAGCAACACAACGTGTACCTCAGAGACAGCTTTTGATTGAAATGACATATATATTAAAACAGCATATGAAAGATATAATGGTTTATGATATGCATGGATTGATGCCAGCTGATCCAATATTACCGTAAGTTCTTCATTTTTCAAAGTTTAAAATTTATGATACTCTAATACTGTAAAACCATTTATTTTCACTGGCTTTTCATTATTTTGATGTTTTGAGCAGGGGAACATTGAGTTATGTTGTAATTTTATATGAGACCACAAATCAAAGTTTGTTCAAATATTGTGACATGAAAAAGGTTTTATGTTATTTCACAGTTAATTTTACTCATCAGCGAACATCAGTGAATAATTACAGTAGTTCATATTAGAGATCTCGGCATATGTCAAGACTCAGGACCGAGTCGACGCGTGCCGAAACATGTGTGTGAACGGTCAGGCCGGAAAAAAATATATCTTAGTCATGATAGATGCTTGAGAATGAAATTCGGCACATGTTGAGATTTGCTGTCTGAAGGCACGGCACAAACTGAAATCACGCCCTCAGTGATGAATTTAAGAGAACATATACTAGTATGACATGACAATGGAGGCCGCTAGAGATGGTCGGATGCTGTAGTAATAAATGAATAAAAAAGCAAACCTTTGTCAAGCGCCACATATTTATGTAATACTACAAGCATTTTTTTACTCGCAATGCTACATCAATGAGAAAAAAATAATTGATTTTCGAATCTACATGTGTACGATGACTCATGATAAAAACTTTGACAGCAAATAGATATACTTTCAATATAGCAATTATTATTATTGTCATCATATGCATATCATTTTTCATGTTTGGGTCAAATAACAGATCGAGAAATGGGGGCATGATTTCGGCACGAGCAAAGTGGGAACAAGGTGGGTCTTGACTATTAACGTGAATGCTACTGTTGTAATCCCTCTACAAACACAAAAGATTACACATTTTGGCCTGGGCCGAATTCTCTTACCGTGAACGTAGCAAGTATGTCATTTACTCCTTTGTTTAGAATTTTTGATTGACACAATCAGATTAAAAAACAATAGCTATGTTTTAAAAGGGATTCCTTTCATCTATACAGAGCACCTTGTTACCAGCATTAATTTTGAATGTGTAATAATGTCAACTACATAAGCAACAATGCTTTCCAAGAAGTGAGAGTTTGGCTGATATGTATATCCACTTGTCAATGAAAATATAATGTTTGAAGGCTGATAATAAATCTATCTTTACCGATAGAATTGATTACCCAGACCGAGAGGCTTTATTTACTTCACCAAATCCTAAATACTTCCAAGGATCAAGAAGAAGTCAGTCTCCATTTTGTGAGTATAAAAAATACAACACTTTATGACTGAATTACAATGGTTGTTATCATCGCTTACTTTTCCTCTCATTGAGTGTTGTAATTAATTTTGTCTGTATATTTGGGTTTAATTTCAGTTGAAGAGGATCAATCCAATATGATTACTCCATCTGAATTGGCGATATTAGATTCTTTGGTGAATGGTGGCAAAGCATTAAGTCTCAAAGTGAGTAGAAAATACTGTTTTCCATTGCTTAGCTCCACTGTCATCATAGATAACAGAGCAGAGCTCTTCATATAGGTCTGTTGTCATTTGTCTGTCCATCGTCCGTCAACAATTGCTTTTTCAACTTCTTCTTGAAAACTACCAGCTCAATTGCTTTGATACTTAGGATGTAGGTGTGCTGAGTGGATTTGTATTAGATTTGTTCATTTTGTGATGATATCTTCAATTGTCTATTTTTGTCATTTTTGGTAAAATATGCTATTTTCAACTTCTTCGTGAAAACCACCAGTTCAATTGTCTTTATACTTGGTATGTAGGTATCTTGGATAAACCTCTGTTAGATTTGTTCACTTTATGACAAAACTTTCAATTCTCTATTTTTGGCAAATATTTTTCTAATTTTCGGTAAATGGTCTTGTAAGACAGCAGAGCTATTTTGGCCGTCAGGTTGCTTGTTTAACATTATACATGTATCCAATATTAACATTGTAGACTTCAGTGGTGTCAGGACCATTCTAAACAAAAATAGACTTCAGTGGTGTCAAGACCATTCTAAACAAAAATATACTTCAGTGGTGTCAAGACCATTCTAAACAAAAATAGACTTCAGTGGTGTCAAGACCATTCTAAACA